GGTTCGACGCAATTTTTGGGTGATAGTATCAAGCCCCTTATTCACTGCAAGTTCCTTAATTGTGGTGATGATAGCTGATGGTTTATATGGTTTGCTTGCTTCATTAATTACCAGCTGTCTGATTACTTCTGGCCACTTTATTTGATCAATATTCTCGATTTGTGTGTATGATCTGGAGCATTTTTATAGCGTTCAATTCGTACCATTTGTATTGTGGTGATATGTGTTACTTTAATTCTGATATCACACTGGTTGGGATCGCGTTTACTTGTCTTTCTTCTCTTTTCAACTGGGATCCCTGCTTTCCACGTACTGGATTCGTGATGCTTTAAGAGACGACAGGTGTAAATGATTCAAAAATCATTATTAAGAGATCGCCAGCTGTTATATCGCATCCAGATGTTGGATATGAGCAGCCATAATTCTTCACGAAACTTCTTTTCAGATACTTCGAAGGAATTATTAACATTAAAAAGACTCACGCGTTTTTGATTAATAATTTCTTGCATTAGAAGTCTTGTTCGAGGTGTAAAGGTGTACGCGCGTATGTATATGTATGTGTGCGTATATGTGCATGTGGTGTGCATGTAGTATGCCATGTGGTGTGTGATGTGTGGTATGTGATGTGTGGTGTGCCATGTGGTTTGTGTGTGCGTGTGGTTTGTGTGTACGTGTATGTGTGTACGCATGTGTGTGTGTGTGTATGCGTATGTGAGTTGTTTTTATAGTGTTTCTTGCGGCTTAAACACAGCTCAAAATATAAGATTTGCGTTTCTTGCATGAATGTATTTGGTTTTTTTTTTTGCATTTCTTATGCGAATGTATTTTTAAGCTTGTATTATCGACATAATTATTCCTTAACCGACATCCCATCCCCTATCCACCCTTATCCTTATTATTTTTATTCCCCCGCCAACTATTCAACAAAAAACAAAAAAAATTACCTTGCAATAATGACGAAATATATTGTGTACGGTTGTACAACTTTATAGGTAAATTCAGATTGACATGATCTGGATTTATATAATTCGAATTGACATATAATCCACTACCCTACTTTAGTGTTCCCCCAAAGTTGGCAGACATATAACAATCTCGGAGATTGCGGAGATTTTGACTTTCTATAACATAAGTCTTTCAACATACGCACTAATGGAGATTATCTGGTTGACCTTCCTTATCACCTTTTCGAGATTCGTTTATGCTTGATCTTATCGTGAAGCATGTTTATTATAGAAAAAGATTTATGTATGTTTCACAAACTTCTACACTAATTACTGATTCATCAATTAAATACGTAATGCGATTTATATACTTTCCTTATATGCACCTGCTATAGTCACTATGTAACTACCTCCAGCAAGAAAATACTAATTAGTTTTAAAAGAACCATAAGGGGAATGGGGTTATCATTTCTTATTAGTAATTTAATCAAAGTTCATATGTTACAATGACTTGGCATTTCCCAGATCATGATTATTGACTTTTTACGAGATCATCAAATTAAGGAGTGTTTTACCAGATGCGAACACAGGCAAAACCTGTCTCATACTAAGTAGTTAACCGAAAAAATAACGAAAATAGATTTGGCTTTGGAATAGGTTTAATAATTCTGGATGGTATAAAATACTTCGTTTTCTTCTCTTGTAAACTGGGTACCAATAATGTTTTTTTTTACTGCTGATTCGAAGTAATGTACCATTGTTCAATATACCACTATTAATTAAGACTATAAAAACATATTTACTTACTGTGAACTTTGTATTTAGGACCGTGAAGATGAGCAATACTAACGATAGTACCACTCCCAAGAGTAACGATAACACCGTCCCCAAGAATAATGATAGCATCATCCCCAAGAGCAATGACAATAACACCTTCCAAACTATGGATATTTCTTTCAATGTCTCTAGAATCATCACTCAAACACCATCTAATCCAAGATCTAGCAAAAGGACACCTAATCCCAGTCGTCAACACAGAAATAAAAGAGACAGCTTTAGTAAGTAAAATCCTGCTAAAGTTAATGATAGTTAAAAATGTTGATGCAACTTTAATAAAATTGAAAATGTTAATTTATTGTATTAATTTAGATGATCTGGATTATGATCCGGAAGAAAAAATTTTTAAAGAAAATCCCTTTCATTTCGTTACTCCAGAATATGCACAAAAATGTATAGATAATGATTAATTACGATATATATCCTCCTGAAGTCGTCCAGGAAATCTTAGATCAATTGTAAAAAACCAACTGCTTGATTCCATCTTTTTTGAAACATATATCTTTTTATCTATATGCTGTTTGATAATTTTTTTATATAATAAAGAATGGGCAGTAGGCATCCGATTTTCTACACATGACATCACTTCCTAAGGCCCATTATAACGTGATGTAATTGGTTAATAATTTTCCTACAGTTAATGATTTTTAATTATTCTGATTAGATGGATCACTACTCTGGAGAATAGGCCCTATTACGAAGCTTATTTTTATGATATTTTCGGATAGAAGAAATAACCTTTTTCTTTTTAACATGAACATGATTCTTTTGGGGATTTATCTGATCGAGATCATACCAGTCTGAATCCGTGAATTCTGAATCAGAGCTGGATGATTTAGAAGGATCTGTCTCAGATTTGTTGTGAAATATTCCATGACGTTTCTTTCGTTGCTTATTATTGCAAAATAATGATGATGCAGAGCATCGAATCTCCAATTCCTCTTCAAGTCTATCTTCAATATTTGAGAGAATTTTGTTAATTATATTTATAACCTTCTCTTGAGCTAGACCAGGTTTAGATTCTGTTAATTTAGGAACAAAGTTCCATTACTTTGCAATAGATAAGTTATTTTTAGTAGAGCTGGCTATGACTCGAAGAATCACCTGTAGGTTTGCTATCTTCTTCGATTAATGGGATACTCATACCATCTATCTCAATTTTAGCATAGCACTTACAATTTTCTAGAGAAAATCCAAAGCTAATTTTTGCTTCATGCATCCATATCCAATTCTGTCCTAGTATCAAATTAAATGATGGATTTTTGCGAATTTGAAAATCTATTACTTCAGTACCATCTAAGCTTCACCACTTTCCTTTATATCAAAATTGTAAATCTAAGCATTTTATTTCTTTGCCTATCAAATCATCACTGGATATACCTTCTAACCCATAATCTTCTTCAAGCTTATTATACAAGCGCTTGCTAATAGTATTGGATTTAGATGTTATATCGATTAATACTTTTACTAGAATTTTTTCCTCTACGAGTAATTCTATGAAAATCATATCAAATATTATTTAATAATGTATAATATAACTGAAAAAATAACTCGGTAAATAATTAACCATTCTCCACTGCTAAATAAAATTATTTGTAACTCACGTTAGAGGATTCTCTCTGAGATGATTAATAATTGCAGAAATAAAATCTGTTTCATCTGATATATGACTCAAATAGTAGTCTCTAAAGGTCCTGGTTATAGCTATCCCATTTCATCGACCAGTAAAGATTGGAATAAGTAGAGGTAAATCAGAAATGAAAAATTCATCATTGGAATAATCTGAAATAAGTGGAGATAGATCAGAATCCAAGAAATCATCATCAGGATAATCTGGATATTTAATTTTAATTTTTGAATTAAGTTTCTTTATCACTTCTTCGCTAATCTTTTTACATCTCTCCAAACTAAGATATTTCAAATTAGTACAATTACAGGCTATTTCCTCAAGAACTTTATTACTAATCGAATAATCGTCAAACTCAAGATGTTTAAGTTTTGGACAAGAATGTGATATTTCAGTGATATATCGATTAGTGAGATATATACATGAATTAAGACTCAGGTATAATAGCTTTGGACAATATCTTGCAATTTCTATAATTGATATGTTAGAAAAACCCTTACTTCAATCAAGAATAAGAGTGCGTATATCTGGATACAAGCGTAAAATTGTACTAATTAATGCATCTGAGATTTTTAAATCTTCCAATCTGAGATATAACATCATTAAATAATAGAGAGATTTTATCTTTCCACACATAACTTTTTTGAATTTCAATAATCATCAATAAATAGTCTGAGGTTTCTTTTGGTCATACAGATCTCTCTGATAATCTTTATTGAAAAACTTAATGTGATGCCATAGAATAGGAGTACTGCAGTGATACCAAAACTGATTAATAAACAAAGTAAGATAGAGGGATTGATCAATTTCTAAATAATATAAAATCTGTTCTAGTAATTCTGGTAAATCAAAAATATTTAAACTCTTTGGGTTATTGCTTTATAATAGTTGCGCCATTTTCAAGTAATATATTATTATATATCTTTAATCAAAAAAATATTTTATGCCTTATGATTATATAAAATCAGATGTATTAATATGTACCAGAAATACTATATGTAACTCTATTATAAATCCTGATAATTAACTTTACGTTTTACTTTACGCTTTAGAATAGGACATTTTCTTATACCTTTAGTCTTATGTATAGCTTCTATTTCTGAACTAGATGTGGAAGAACTATCTGAATTGCTATCCAAAGTAATCGAATTGAAAGCATCTGAATCAGAAGATGTAGAGATATTTAATCTGTGAGATAGCGAATTTTTCGATCTTTCAGGAAGTATTTTATAAAAATCATGAATATTTCTTTTATTAACAGATACATTAACCCTTGACTTCTTTTTAGCTTTGGTTATATCAACTTTTCAACTGAGGTCCTTAATGCGTAAGGTGATTCTTACAAAAGTATTTTTTGCATCTGTTACTATTTCCGGTAAATACATCTAAATTCTATGGTTATTGTATCCATAGAACTAATTGTTACCAAGCAGAATATAATTAGACATCTTGGAGTTATATTTTTCTATAAGCACTTTAGTCAGAATTGTGATGGATTCATAATTACTAAGATAGTTATTGTTTATTACATTAGAAGTAAAGGTAATTGGAATTATGGCCAATCCAAGTGGAGCTGTGGTTTTTTCTCTGATGAATTTACTATCTTTTTCTTTAGAAGTCAACTTTTTGCTAATTTTGTCACCGATTTTCTTGAAAAGTTTATCAGTACATATAGAGATCTCCAAAAATCCTGATTCAAGACAACAATTAACTTTCTGCTTCTCTACTTTAGCTTTAACTATCTTTACTTTCATGATAAGTTATATTATGTGATATATATATTCAACTGAAAAAAAATAACTAATAATTACTAATTGCAAAAATAAAATCAGTTTCATCTGGATCTGAATCATCTAATAATGATAAATATTTTACTGTAGATATGATAAAAGTGAAGAAGCGCAATTAATCTTGATCATAGATATGAAATTATCTTGCTTGCTCATAAGAAACTTCTCTTTTTCTATAATTGACTATAACGTAATTTTGTACAGGAGAAATATGATTATTAGATGAATAATGTAGATATTCTCCAGCAATTGTATAAGCGTGGGCCATATTCTTAGCCTCATATACTACCACACCATAAACAGCATTCATTTTTCGTAAGTATTTGGGAATTAAATCATAATCTTTTAAGAATTTATTGAACCATTTAACTCCTGGCTTACCTAGATCACTCATTCATCCAGATGATATAGCATGCTGAATCCAAGTGAGTAGTTCTTTGGCTCATTCTTGATTCTTTTCCATAGATCTAAATTTTCTAGAAATATCTGGTTAACTCTAATTTTTTGCATATTCTGTTACTCCGGCATCTGTAATACGTAAAGTTATAAGTTCAGCAGGATGAATACAAAATATCACCATGATATCAGCAAGAACCCAATAATTGGGTAGAGTTTTTAAATCATACGCATCTAACCTTTCTTTAATTGATTCTAATGTAAATTCATCTGAATAATTAATATGTTTAGTTTCAGTCTTTTTCCAATTAACACTTTGGATTTTGTTGGTATCTTCTGTAATATCTAGAAATTTCATAGTCTCAATTATCTCAAGTAATGCATTAAGATTCCTTAATTCTCTATAAAGATGAGTGAGATGTGATGAGCCAACATTAGCATTTTTTGCTGATAGGGCTAAGGCATAAGCTTCAGTTCTTACATTTCTAATATTAAGTTTATCCTGTAAAATCCATTACGCCATATCTCTAATAGTTTCTTCCTCCATTTCTTTCAAGAGTTTGTTGGAAATCACAATATTTATATTTTTATCTGAGGTAGTTACATTGTGGCTACTTCCATTTTTCTGGATTGAAAGGTGATGTAAGTCACTTTGCAAAGCAAATAAGGCATTCACTTGATCTTTACTAAAGCCATATCTATTCTGTAAGATTCATTTAGTTATCTCTCTGATAATTTTCTCTTCCAAATCTTTTGAAGGCAAAGTTATAGCTATTTTGTAACTGCTCTCGATAACATTTATAATCTTGACCTTACTACTTCTCTGATTAGGTATTAATATACTTACCTGATCACTGCTAAATTTAAAACCATCTCAAAGATGTTGTTGATCTTAATTCCACTTTCTATCATCAGTAAGATTTTCAAGAAATTCTGAGGTATATTTACTGAGCTCAGATACACTCATTTTGTTGTTGAGATTGTATTTTTTAATAATTTTAGTTACAATAGCTGACATGATCTAATATTGAGTAGGTTATGAACAATTCTTTAGGTTATTTATACTATAAAAAATATTTTTTCAAATCAAAATTAATTATCCATGGATGCTATATTCAAAATTGAATGGATGGTGATTATTGTAATTCTATCAAAAAATAGACGTAAACAAGACACGAGTTTAATCAAAAGTCTTGGAATCCATAACTCTCCATAATAAAATTACTAAAAATATCAATGGGATCAAAGAGGATATAGCATTACTTAATGAGGGTTTGAAAAATTTAATCTATATATACCAGGTATATGATTCTCAAACATAGCAATTATATATGCAATTCATCTGCTTTTTTCTGTCATAATTCTCTTTACTTTTATATTTTCTCACATATTTATTACATGCATTATATTTAGATCTATTTGGCTCATCACAATCCTGCCTTCTCATATATACTCGAAGCCAGAAAAAAATATATGATTTCATTCTATTTCGGAATACAAATGCCAAGAAAAATTCTCTATAACAATATATCAAGATATTTCACTTAATTTTATAGTACTTTATGCCTCATATAGAGAATATCTATTCTCATGATTATATTTTGCAAGTAATTCAGCTTGTCTCTTTTTATGATAATTTGATTTGTTACGATATTTTTCAGCATATTTAACACATATACCATATGTAGAGATAGTTGATATGTCACATTCTTCACAAGAAACCTGTACTTGCATTTTCTAATGAAGAGCACAACTCTCTTGTCGATAACAATCTTTTCCACAAATTCATCTATCAATATAAATATGTGGGCAAGAATAGAATACCATTACTAATAATAATAATTTTCAAATTTTGCATATATGAAATAATTATTTTTCAAATTAAACTTTTTATGTCGCTTTTATTATAAGTTGATAAACCAACGTATTATATACTTTTTATCAGATCAAATAACGCACATATACAAACAACATATATACAAATCAATAAAATGAGTTTGTCTAGTGAAGCAAAAAAATATCTTCATGAATCGTTACAGTAATAGTACTTAAATCAAAAGTCAGCCAAATATAATGAAGCAAAATGACTTTTTATGAGTTTAACAAATCTTGATTATAAACCTGGCCATAAAGAACATATATTTTATAAATACTGACTTGCATCTAATAGCTATACTGATAAAAATGATACTGCGCTTTTAAATGTGTATCAACCTGAAGATATTTATTCTCAATATATAATTTGAATGGTAGGAAAAGGGTATATAGTGATTGATCATCCTACAGAAGTTTATAGAATACCTAATACTCATGAATATATTGATGGTAACCAGTCTCTTCGCTTAATAATTGACATTGATGCAAGACAAAAGTCCGATTCAGATAATCTTAATTATCCTTTTCTAGATAGTGAAAAAATTACTCGTGAAGATTTTTATCTTGAATTTTAATTACTTGTACAAATGCATTAAGCCTTATTCCAGATTGCACGCCTTTCTTAAATTCTTTTGCTTTAGTGAGTTCATCAAATATTAAGAAATGCAGTTGACATATTATTTATCCTCGTACTCAATTCATAGATTATAGAGAACTTAAGAGATTCACAGAGAAAGTTATAGAATTAGTTGGAAAACCTTATTCGAAATTTATTGATAATGGCCTTCTCAAAACACATTTTAATCTTCGACTCCTTGGATCAGCGAAAGAGAGATGTATAAAAAGACCTGTTATCTCTTTTGTAAAAAATGGATTTCAAAAGCTAGAGAATTATCTGGTTCAGCCTAAAGAGAATTATTCTGTGATCTGGCCACGAACCTTTTCTTCTGAAGAGCTAGTAAAACAAGAATCTCAGCCTATTAATAATGAAAATACTTTGAGTAAAGGAGCTAATCTAGTTATTGAAGAATATAGGTGGCTTCAGATTAGAAAAATTGGGAATGATTTTATTAATTTTCAAGCATAATTTATTAAAAAATGTCCTATATGTGACATTAAACATAATAAGGATCAACTCTACAGATTTATTTGAAAAAATAGATATTTTGTACTTAAATATTATCGCCAAAAATAATATAAGTCAGATCATAAGAGATTAAGCTTTGAAAAGATATCAGATAAAGTTAAATCAAAAGAGAAACCTAAGAAGTAGGAGTTATGTGAAAGATTACTCAAGGTTATAAAGAATCCACACCCACTTGTAGATTTATCTGGAAATAATATTAATGTTAAGGAAATGAAGGACACCTCAGAAGCTTATCCAGATTTCATGAGTAAGAAATCTACTACAACTCTAATTCGCTTACCTGTTATCAGCGGAAAAACAAAAATCTTAAGAGAGATTCTTAATTCTTTAGCTAAAAGTGAAGTAAATTTACCTTGTTTTAACTGGATTTCATATTGTAAAACTCTTAGTAATGAAACTAAAAGTAAAATCAAAGTATTACAGAAATCCGGACTTCATGTATACCATTATCAGGAAAATAAAGGTAATTTAGCTATACGTGACTGAGATGTTATTATTGTTCAGGTTGAAAGTACATATCATCTTAATTTCTATGGAGATTATTCTCATGTAGTTATTTTAGATGAAGTGAATAGTATTATGCGTCAAATAGCAAGTGGAATCTATGTACGAGAATCTGAAAATGCCATGTGGAATTTGTTAAAGTCAGCTATTCATGTGGTTGTCATGGATACTTTTGCAAATGAGTCGACTTTAGTCTTCTTAAGACAATACTGGGATGAAAATATCTGAGTTTTTGATAATAAGTATTAGCCACGTAAAAGTAAGACCGTAAAAATCCTTTATGATTCAAATAAAGATTCAGAAGCTATATGTAAAGGTCTTGAGATGCTTAAAGAAGATAAGCGTATTATCTTTTCAATAACCTCCTGCAAAAAGACTCGGGCAATAGCTAATCAAGCATCTAAGTTGCAAAAACCAGATGATTTATTTATTTTGTCACTTTGCTGATATTAATGCTACCTGAAGTGGTCTTGATTGTGTAATCTATACAAGTACTGTGGAGTTAGGCATCTCATTTGAAATTTCTAATTATTTTGATGCAGTTATAGCAATTAGTAATATTAAAACAGGAATACATGCTGAAGCATTTACTCAGATACTTTATCAAATTCGCGATTGTCCTTATCATATTGTTTCTCTTTATAATAGTAAAACATATTCTGAGATTTTTAAAGAATCAAATCATGACCTTATTCATGCAGAACTTTCGGCCTTAAGACCTGAAGATTTATCAACTGCAATAAAGGGGTGCCATGAATGGAACAAAATCACTAACTGTTATATACTTGATTCATCTCCAGCAGTAGAAATCTATATTGAGGTTGAATATTAGAGATGCTTATTGGCCAAATATTTTCCAGAAATTCTTTATAATTTAATTGCTAGTACTGGAGCATCACTAGAATTAATCGCAATAGAAGATATCAAATTAGCCAAAGCTTCTTGTACAGAAGTATCTCATACTATTAAGAATACTAAGAAATTAATTAAAGGTGAAGATGCAGAATTAATAGTTAATGCTCCAGATATTAATCCTAATAAA